CTAACGAGAGCGTGGAGACCGCCATGTTCTCCGGAGGGAGCTCCGGAAAGAAGTCCAAGTGGAGCAACGGTGAGGCAAAGAAGTCGTCCGGTGGAAACGGTCGCGGCAAGGGCAACGCATCGAACGGTTCGAGCAAGTGTCATTATTGTCGCAAAGCGGGGCACTTTTGGCGTGAATGTCGGAAGCGGCCGAGCGATTGGATTCCATCGAAGGCGCGGAACCAAGAGGGCAACGCGCACACTGCATCCGGCGAGGCGGATGATTCAACGGAGTCGCTCGTTTTGTTGGCCGGTGACGGGATCAACACTTCAAACGACGCGTGGTTCCTCGACACCGGTGCAACACAACACATGACGCACTCGGCGTCGCTCCTCAACAACGTTGGTGCTCCGGGAGACGTCAAGCGCGTCGTCTTCGGGAACGATAAATCGCTACCGGTGGTTGGAGTTGGGAGTACGCGTCTCATCGTCGATGGCGGGCCGGTGGACATCACGAACGTGCTTCACGTCCCGGGATTGAAGGTGAATCTACTCTCCGTCACTCAACTCGCAAAGAAAGACGTGAAGGTCACCATCGATGGCGCGAAGATGAACCTCTTTTGGAAGGGGAAGCAATTCGCGCAAGGCGTTCTCAACGGACAACTCTACCAACTCAAGACGCATCCGACAACGGCCTCATCCAACGTGGCGCAAGGCTCCAAGGCGACTCTCAAAATGTGGCATAATCGGCTTGCGCACGCCAACTACGACTCGGTCAAAGAGTTGGCCAACAAAGGACTTGCGAAGGGATTTGACGTGATCGCCGGCAACGACGAGAAGGGCGTGTGCGCGGCGTGTGTCGAAGGAAAAATGGCTCGCAAGCCATTTGGTAGCCGTACCTCACCCCTCGCAAAGGACCCGCTTGCGCTTGTTCACATGGACGTGTGTGGACCGATGCGGCATGCATCAAAGGGAGGAGCGCGGTTCCTCTTAGTGATGCTCGACGACGCGACGCGGATGAGTTGGACCCGACTCTTGAAGGCTAAGGGAGATGCGGCCAAGGCGATTCAAGAGTGGGCGCTCGACGTTTGCGACGACGGCAAGAAGCGGATCAAGTGCATTCGCACCGACGGTGGCGGCGAATTCGTGAGCAACGAGCTTGAAAAATGGATGAAAATCAAGGGCATTAAGCACGACGTCACGACACCCTACACACCCCAACAAAATGGAGCGGTAGAGCGGCTCAATCGCACATTGATGGAGGCCGTTCGTTCACTTCTTCAACACTCCAAGCTTGGGAACGAGTGGTGGGGAGAGGCGAGTGCGCTAGCGGCATGGATTCGTAATCGTGTGCCAACAAAGGTGCTACCGGGAACGACTCCGTTCGAAGCATGGACCGGAACGAAGCCGAACCTATACCGCCTACGCACCTTTGGGTGCCTTTGCTACTACCATGTACCGGATCCACTTCGCCACAAGTTGCAACCGAAAGCTCGTGCGGCGATCTACTTGGGGATTGCGGCGAACGAGCGTGCATGGCGAGTGTGGGATTTGGATGAAAAACGCGTCGTCACGTCTCGGGATGTGATCTTCGACGAAGACAAGTTCCCGACAAAGGAGAAACAAACGCCGCAACTCACCGTCGTCCTTCCCGCACGAGAGGAGGATGAAGCGGTGGAGGTTTCACCGCACGTGAAGAAGGGAGCCGAAAGTGGAGGGGGAGAGAACGAGAGTGCGATGATGATGTCGAGAAGGTGCCACCAACCGAGGAGGCCACTTCCTCCGCACCTTCTTCCCTACCATTGGCGTTGACTCGCGGGCGTCGTACACCTCGCCCCAACACGAGGTTAACCGACTATGCTACGGTCGCCGTTGGGGAGTCGGATGAGGAAAGTGCGGCGATTTGCCGACCATCGGCGACGATAACCCACGCACTCACAAGGAGGCTTTGGCTTCCCCGGATGCACCGCTATGGAAGCAAGCGATGGAGAGGGAGTTAGCATCGATCAAGGAGAACGATGTTTTCGAGCTCGTCGACCCGCCGAAGGGTGCCTACTTGGTGGGATGCAAGTGGGTGCTTAGGAAGAAATTGGGAGCCGATGGAGGTGTCGAACGCTACAAGGCGCGGCTTGTGGCGCAAGGGTACACTCAACGGGAGGGGGAGCACTATAGTGAGACCTTCGCTCCCGTTTCGAAGGCCTCCACTCTTCGGGTGTTGCTCGCGCTAGCGGCATCTCTCAACCTCGAGGTGGAACAATTGGACGTTTGCACCGCCTTCCTCTACGGGCTTCTCATGGAAGAAGTCTACATGCGGCAACCCCCGGGGTACGATGACGGTAGCGGTCGGGTGTGGAAGCTCAAGCGTACCCTCTATGGCTTGAAGCAAAGCCCACGCGGATGGTACAAGCGTATCGACGACTTTCTTCTTCAACACGGCTTCGCGCGTAGCGTGTGTGATAGCGCTTTGTACGTGTTGAAGGAGGGGGAGAAGCAATTGGTGCTTTTGCTCTACGTCGATGACCTCCTTCTTTTCTCCGACTCCAAAGACCTCATTTGAGAGGTCAAGCAACGGCTAGGGGCGGAGTTTGCCATGAGGGACTTGGGACCGGTGACGTACTACCTCGGGATGCACGTCGACCGCGACCGCGCGAACGGGACCATTCACCTCCACCAAGAAAAATATGTGAAAGGGGTTGTGGAGCGCTTCGGCATGGGTAATAGCAACCCGGTGGGGACGCCACTAGACACGGGAATTTCTTGCCTCCCGGGAGAGGAAGAATCCGCCCTCGACGAAGCCGAAGGGAAGCGGTTTCATTCGCTAGTCGGCTCACTCATGTATGCCGCCGTTTCCACCCGTCCCGACCTCTCATACGCCGCCGGGGTACTTGGACGAGCCGTAAGCAACCCTCATACCGAGCATGTGCGTGCGGGAGGACGTGTTCTACGCTACCTCCAAGGCACACCCAACTTGGGAATCGTATATGAAGCCGGTCCAATCGTGCTTAAGGGCTACACCGACTCGGATTATGCCGGTGATCAAAGCAAGCGCAAGAGTACCGGCGGGTACGTCTTCACCTTGCTTGGGGGAGCCGTGAGTTGGCAAAGCAAGTTGCAACCAACCGTGGCTCTAAGCACAACGGAAGCGGAGTATATGGCACTCACCCAAGGAGCCATGGAGGCAATATGGCTACGGCGCCTTCTAGCGGAGCTTGGGCATCCTCAAGCCGACCCAACTCCTCTCTTTTGTGACAACCAAGCGGCCATAAACCTCACTCACAATGCCGTCCTTCACGGGCGTACCAAGCACATTGAGGTGAAGCATCACTTCATTCGTGAGGTGGTCGAGAGAGGTGAGGTCAAGGTCACATACATAAGCACCAAGGCGCAACCCGCGGATTTCCTCACTAAACCACTCCCTAAGGATTCATTCCGTGCATGCCGTGAGCGTGTTGGTATGAACACCTAGTGGCTTGGGTGCAAGGGGGAGTGTTGGAAGGAAACGGTGGTGGGGCGGTGGTATGCCCCCAACCCACCGAGGGCACTTCGGTGCCTTCGATCCCTTTGACTAGGGATCGGTGGGGTGGCACCGATTGACTTCGGGAGACTCACCCTTCGGTGCCACGTGGCGGCACCACATTCCAACCTTCAAGTGCAAGGCGAATTCGGTGTGTTCGGTGTGAAATTCGGTGGTCGAATTTCACCCCAACCGAAATGTTACACGCGGCGCATTCGCGACGCGAGTGTAGCGATGTGATGTTACATGTGCGGTTCGATGTAATGCATTTGCTATAAATCGACCTGCTTTGTATGCATGCTTTATACTGAAATCCTGAATCTTCTTGTACATGGTCCATTCGAACCAAAATTCCAGAGAGGTCTATCCTTGCTTCTAAGAGCACTAGCAATCACGTGAACACCAATATCTCGGCGTATACTTGGGCGATTAACGTGTTTGACGGCTTGTTGGAAAGCCAAGACTGTGCTCTATCGTTTAGTGCAACTTAGAGTTCCTGCAAATTAGAGGAGACGCCTCTACAACAGCAACTTTTTCTCATGCTATCATACTAACGCGACCAAGTGCCGGTAACCGCGGAAAGTCCTGTTTTTTAATTCAACCGTGAAATCAACGGCGACGCTTATGTCCTACGCTTGCGACGCATGAACGCGAATTATTACTCTGAAAAAATCAAGTATCGACGCAAACTCCCACATGCCGCGAATCTCGCTACGATCCCACCGGCGGTCCTTCGCGTCCTTAATCTCCGCCGCACGCGGCGCGGCGTCCACCGCCAACGCGCCTACCTCCTTACCCTCTGCAACCCCAGATTCCATAGCACCGACTTAATTCGCATGTGCGAATACGGAGACCAGAACAGTCTAACTAATACCGCAAACGGCGCGAAAGATACGATTACGATCGTGCAGCCTAGCGGGCGTGAGTATCGAGAGAGCAGCGATCAGAAAAAGACGAGACGGGAGTGAGCGCGTTTTCATTGTTACTGTATTCCCCGTGCGATGCCACAATCGCGTACAACCACTCCGGTTACTAACCTGTGGTACCAGTAAGTACAGCAATTATGTTACTGAACAATTAGCGAAATTATGAACAGTGAATAAGGAATGTACGTACCATACGAGTAGCAAGCTGGGTTTATTAATAAAACACCTCCTTATATCCAAATGGCCCTATCAAGTTAGCCCATTTAGAGTGCCAACTAGCAGTAACATCACAACCAGTAGCCCGCCCATTTGACGGACACTATTCTGCTAAGTACACATCACCAATCTACCATATCCCCACATAAGACACCATAAACAGTCCTCTAGTTACTCAAGCTCTCCGCTACCCCATATGCCTTAAAAGCTGCTCACATGGCTAGCTCTCTTACTCATCATAAAGAAAAACTTCTGCAAACACAATTATGGTTTGACATTCCCCCATTCCTCCCTTTCTCACAGATCTCGCATGATCTGGTTTGACATTCACCGATTCTCTCTACCTAGTAACACTCCTCACCTCACTCACTCTCCTCTTCCCTTTCCCTCCTTCCCCACCCATCCCTTTCCCTTTTCCCCTTCCTTCACCTCCCTACCTTCCTTCTCCCCCACTCCTCCTGGCCTTACCTTATCCAAACCACCATCAGTATCAGCAGTACCAGTAGCAGCATCCGCGCTCGATTTTCTCTTGACCGCTAAACCCCCATTCCCTTCCCCTTCTCTCTTCCCATCCTTCTCCTCATCCCCCTTTCCCTCCCCTCCAGCTCCTCCCCTCTCCCTCTCCCCCCTCTCCACTTTTCCCTTCTCCCCCTTCTCCCTAGCAGCTGTTCCTTCAACAGCTGCCTCAACCCGTTTTCTCTCACTCAACCGCTCTGCACCGCTCTCCTCTTTCACCTCTTCCACATCGCTGTCGGAAGAGGCACCTTCCTTCTCAGTGACACCTCCTTTCCCAGTTGTACCTTCCCCAGCTGTACCTTCCCCAGATGCCTTCTCTTCATCTGCCTTCTCCAGTCCCCACACCTCAGTATCTGTCAGACCCCCTTCTCGTCCCTTTTGCCCTGTTTGCTCCTCTCGTCCCTGTCCCCCTTTTTCCCCCTCCCGCCCCTCTTGCCCTTGTCGCTCCTTTTCCCCCTTTTGCCCCTGTCGCTCCTTTTCACCCTTTTGCCCCTGTCGCCCCTCTTGCGCAGCAGCAGCAGACTTTTGACCCTCCTCATGACCTTTCATCCCATCCTTCTGCCCATGCTTCTCCTTCCGCTCACCCATATCCTTGACCTTTTCCTTCTGCCTCTCCTTATCCCTCTCAACCGCATCGAACCCATCTCTTGAAACACCCCTTTCACCACGCCTCCCAGGGGAGATAGGCTCAGTTTCAACCTGACGTGAATCATGTTGCTTCGCAGGCTTCGCAAGAGCTGAACTCATCCTGATTTCTTGGGTATCCCCTACCGAACGCTCGTTTCCTTGGGACGTCTTCAACTCATGCCCTCTCGGACCCCCGTCTCTCTGGATTCGGGTATTCTTCTCTCCCCCCCCAGGTCCCTTCTCATCCACCCGTCCCTTCCCCTCCCTGATGTCTCCATCTTCTTCTGCTTTATCTCTGCTGCCTCCCTGATCCTTCCGCTTCCTCAACCCGCATTCTTCTACTTCCATTTGATCATTCTCCTTCTCCTCGTCCTTCTCCTCGTCCTTCTCCTTCTCACTACCCTCTCTTTCTCTCCCCTCGAGCCTCTGATTCCTGGTCCCACCGTCTTCTACCTCCATTTGATCATTCTCCTTTTCCTTGTCCCTCTTTCTCTCCCTCTCACTCTCTATCTCCCTCTCCCGCCCCCTCTCTCTCTCCCTCTCCTTCTTCCTCTCCTCCTCCTTCTCCCTCTCCTTATCCCTCTCCTTCTCCCTCTCCCTCTCCCTCTCCTTCTCCCTCTCCTTTTCCCTCGCTTTCTCCCTCTCCCCCTCCTTCTCCCTCTCCCTCTCCCTCTCCCATTCCTTCTCTCTCTCCTTCTCCTTCTCCTCCCTATCCCTCTCCCTTTCCCTCTCCCTCTCCCTATCCCTCTCCCTTTCCCTCTCCCTCTCCCTCTCCCTCCCCCTCTCCCTCTCCTCTTCCATTCCCTTCTCCTTCTCCCTCCAAGCTGCCCCATTCGTCCCTGTGAGATATCTCCCCTCCGCACCCTGCCTTTCAGCCGTTGTAACAGCATCAAACTGTGATTGAATCCTGCTGCTCTCATAACTACTCGGATCCACGCTCTGCTGTTGCTGCTGCCTCTTTTCCTGCGCCTGCTGCCCCTCCTGCTCCCGCTGCTCCAGCTGCCCCTGCTGTTCCCGCTGCTCCAGCCTCCACTGCTGCCCCTGCTGCTCCCTCTGCTCCCGCCTTCCCTGCTGCTCCCTCTGCCCCTCCTGCTGCCGCTGCTCCCGCCTCTCACGCTGCTCCCGCTGCTCCTGCCTCCCCTGCTGTACCTGCTGTTCCTGCTGCTCCCTCTGTCGCTCCTGCTCCCGCTGGCCCTGTCTCCCCTGCTGTTCCCACTGCTCCTGCCTCCCCTGCCGCTCCCACTGCGCCTGCTCTTCACGCTGCTCCCGTTGCCCCTCTCTCCCCTGCAGGCTCTGCTCATGCGGCTGTAGCAGCTGCTGCTTTGGACGGTGCCTTCCCGTTCCCCCATCCTCCTCCTCCTCCATCTCCTCCTCTTGTTCTTCTACTGTGTCAGCTTCTAAGTCCAAAACAAGCCGTTTCCGCTTCTTCTGCCCCTGCCCCTGCCCCTGCCCCTGCCCCTGTCCCTGCCCTTGCTGCTGCAACTGCTGCAGCTGCTGCTGCAAATCCAATCGCCTTTGCTGCAGCAGCAGCTGATTCTGATGCTGATGCTGCAGATTCTGCCGCTGCTGAGTCTGCTGTTCCTGCCCATTCCCGTCTGCCTCCTCGTTCACGCCTGTCAACCGCTCTCCACCCCTACCAGCCTCCGTCTTCCACCAAGGAACCTTCTCCTTCCTTCCCTCTCCTTCTCCCTCGTCACCCCCCCTGCCGTCTTCGTTCCCTAACTCCACGCCCAACCTCCTCCCCCCACTGCTTTTCCCGTCATCCCCCCTATACTGCTGCTGCTGCTGCAATTGCCTCTGCTGCTGCTTCTGCTGCTCTTGTGCGACTTGCTGTCGGGCTAGCTGTCTGGCCGTCTGAACCTCTTCAGCCACCTGCTGAGCTGCAAGTTGCTGAGCTGTTGCTGCCCTCTCTGCTGTTCCTTGCTCATCCGCTCGCTGCCTTACCTGCCCTACCTGTAACGCGGGTGCTGCTCGTGTTCCTTGCAACGCCGGTGCTGCTTGCACTGCTTGTGCTCCTTGTGTTGCCTGTGCTGGTGGGATCTGTGATGCTCCGTAGGGTGCTGCCCCTCGTGTGAGCGCTTGGTTGCTGTTGGGAAGAGGCTCGTTACTAGGCCCACCACCCATCCTCGATTGCTGCTGCTGCATCGCGTGTTGCATTTGCCACGCCTGTTGCTGCTGCAGCTGCTGCTGCTGCCGCTGTTGCTGCTGGTGCTGCAGCGGATATTGGTTCTGGTGCTGCTGGTTTTGCTGATTGGGCTGCTGCTGCTGCTGCAGCTGCTGCTGATGGTGCTGCTGAAAATGATTCCGGTGCTGCTGTTGTAGCTGTTGCTGTTGAAACTGATTATGGAGTTGCTGTTGTTGTTGCTGCTGCTGCTGCTGCTGCTGCTGCTGCTGCTGCTGCTGCTGCTGCTGCTGCTGCTGCTGCTGCTGCTGCTGCTGCTGCTGCTGCTGCTGCTGCTGCTGCTGCTGCTGCTGCTGCTGCTGCTGCTGCTGCTGCTGCTGCTGCATCTGATGCTGCTGCTGCTGCTGCTGCTGTTGCTGCATCTGGTGCAGCTGCTGCTGCTGCTGCTGCTGTTGCTGTTGCTGCTGGTGCTGTCGCTGCTGCTGCTGCTGCTGTTGCTGCTGAGCCTGCTGCTGCTGTTTGTTCTGATCAGGCACCTGCGGCCACGAAACCTCACCATGCTCCCTGTCTCTTCTCCTCTCACCTCCCATCTCTCTTCCCCTCTCTCTTCCCCTCTCTCGCTCCCTTTCCCCCTCCCTCTCTCTCTCACTCTCCCTTTCCTTCGCCTTCTCACCCCCCCCCTGCCCGTCTTCCCTTTCCAACGCCTGCACAACCCCCAGCATCTTCCTATACTTAGCCTCAGCCTCTTCCAAAGCCAAATCCACCCCTCTCCGCCGAAACTCCTCCTCCGAAGTAGTTTTCTTCACTGAAATAATCATCTTCAGCACCTCGACCTCTTTCCTCGCCTCCGCCGCTTCTCTCTCCATACGTTCCGCGTCGGCCAATCGCGACGCAGCAACCGCTTCTAGCTCCTGCACCTGCCATTTCTTCCGCGCTCGCTCCTCCTCCACCGCCGCTGCCTCTTTCCGCTTCCCTAGAACGTCCCTATGGCATTCCGCCAAAGCCTCTCGCGCTGCTTCCAGGCTGGATTGGTACCGAGGCAGAGACGGAGGTTTGGAAAGCGCTGACGTGGGCGCGGTGGGACCGGAGCTGGGTCTGGTATGGCCCGAACCTGGACCGGGAAGCCCGGGAGCAGGTCTGGCCGAGCCTGTGGCGGAGGCAACCGGGCCCATGGAAGGGATGGGAGAAGCGGCAGTAGAAGCAGCAGCAGGAGGAGGAGGAGCAGGAGCAGGAGGGGCAGCAACGGGAGCAGATGCGGCGACGGGAGGAGCAGGGGAGGGCGCCGCCATTGTTGGGGGAGGGTGAGGAGCAGAAGCTGCTGAAGCGGCGGGGGTGGCAGGATTGGGAGGAGTAGGGACGAACGAGGCGCCTGCAGGACGAAGGGATGGGGAAGGCGGAAAAGAAAAGGGCACCTTAGAGAGCAAGCAAAAACAAGTGGGGAGACTAGAGGACGAACGAGGCGTCTGCAGGGCGAAGGGATGGTGATGGCGAAAACAGTCGAGCCGGGTGCAGGAAGCAAGTGAGTAATGGCAAACGGCAAAGGTAAACGACAGTGAGACGAATCAGAACAACAGTGGTGAGTTGATGCGACACAGCAGATCAGGACAGCGTATCACCTGTCAGAGCAAGAAGAGAGCACACGAGGGCAAGCATACCCTAACCCTAACTTCCAAGCGCCGCACAAACCCTGAATGTAAGGACGCGGCACCTGTTTTCATTTTGCCAGGATCGATCGTGGGAGGGGATCGATGTGCCGCTTGTACAGTGTATTGGCGACATCGCCAATGCCTGGTATCCGTACTTCGCTAAACGTCGAGAATGTACAGTAAACGGGTTCCCAAATTGGTGGCACCTGCAGCTCGCACGATCGATGTGCCGTGGTGCATGCGTTAGGGTTGGCGGGAGAGCATATCGCGCCACAGGTGACAGCCTCGATCGATCGGCGTCGCCCACGGTCGCAGGCCAAAAAATATTGAGTCGCTGCGAATGGCATTGCTGGACGACCATCCACGCTCTGCCCTGATTGGCTGCGCGTTTAAGTGTGATGGCAGCTCCAACCTGCCCGAGCCTGCAATTTCGAACCTGGCACCTATAGCTCGATGTGTCTACCCCACTGCAAATTTGCAGTGTGGGCACATCGGTGTGCCGATCTATATGCCAGGATCGATGTGAGGCCACGATCCTTGTAAAATGAAAACAGGTGCCGCGTCCTAACCTTCTGTAAGCGGCGGCTTGGATACAAGCAAGCCAAACAACACCCACCCCAAACGACACCCACCCCAAACGACACCCACCCCACTCACTGCTGGCGAAGAAAAGCTGCATGTCGCGACAAATGTCCGCGCACGCCCTGCGCCCCTCCCGCAGCTCCCTCAGCGCCAGCGCCGCCCTCCGCGCAAGCTCGCGCCCGAGCGCGTCCGTGCTCGCGCCGAAGATCCCCCCCACGCACTCCAGCTCCCTCCGCGCGGCCTCCGCGTCCCACTGCGCGGAGCACAGGCGGAACACGTCGCGCACGAACCCAAACAGCTCCGACGACCGCGCGCACGCGGGGCACGCGAATTGCGCACTCGTCGCCGCCGTCGCCCCGTCCGCGGAGCCCTCCGCAGCCCCCCCGCCCGCCTGCCCTCCGCCTCTTCCCCCCGCGCCCCCCGCGCTTCCCCCCGCCCCCACTGCGCCATGGCGCACGAACCCCATGTGGAGCGCGCAATCCGTGTGGCACCAATGCAGACAAAAATCGCATCCGATCCACCGACACGTGTTGGTGTCGAAATCGAATTTCCCGCATGCGACACACATGCACAAATTGCAAAATCCCCCGCCAATTTCCGTGCTAGAAGCAATACCAGCGCTAGTGCCTGCCCCTGAGTTACCCCTGGTAACAGCACCGGTGGTGTTGGCGCTGGTGGTACCGGAAATCCCGGCGGTATTTGTCGCTCCCCCGTCTGTTCCCGCCCGGCCGGATCCCCCCGGTTCGCCGTTGCCCGTCGTGCAGAAACGACAGCGGCAGCCGCCCGCGGGAAGCGGGCTCTGGCAGGCCATGTTCTGGCAGCGGCGGCGGAGGAAGATTTCGATTAAAGACGTCGGCGGGATGGCGATATCGGGGTGTAGAAACGCCTGGATGCCGGTCCGAACCGCGACGAGGATCTTAAGATGCGTGTAGCGCGCGTGGGAGAGGGACTCTGTGGTAAGGCCCGCGCCGGCGCCCGTACGCGTTATAAGCAGGCGCTGGAGGGAGAGGAACTCCGGCTTGCGGTCGGGCGTGCCGAGGATGTCCCATAGCGAGACGCGCAGCTGCTCCAAATGCGCGGGCGGCGTGGAGCGAAGCTTCGCGGAAACCGCTTCGACGGGGAGGGAGAGGAGGGACGCGAGAGTGAGAGGCTCGAGGGACATGGTGGGGGCTTGGGAGTGGGGCGGGGGGGCGGAGAGGAATGGCGGGACGGTTGGTGCTGCACTGCCGCGATGCGGAAACATGAGAACAGTGACCAAGGACCGATTATTGGACTATCGAATACAATCGGCTACAGTATCGGCTATTATTGGCTACAGTATCCAGCTATATTAGACTATCCCGCTTCCACGTTATTCCACCGGTTTCTTGGCGACTTGCTTAGGAAACTTCTTGGAACCAGAAACTAGAGTCCAGGCTACGAATGAGGGTCCTTAGGTTTCGCGATATGGCCGAAACCTAAAGCGTACACCTACGCATCCGACGTGGCGACGCCACGTGAGGTGAGCTGTTACGCGGATGGTGACTCAGCAGCGACTTCCGTAAAATGCGTCAGGCACTGCACGAGAGGCTGTAGGACTTTGGCGAGTCAAAAAGCGAACGAGATTTTGTTGACTGGAGTTAGTTGACGGAAAGTCGTTGACGGGATAGGCGACGGAAAAAAAAATGAACAGACGGAGTACAGGCCAGCGTGTCTGAGATAGCATTACAGTTCTAGACAATGAGTTGCCTCGAGATAGTATGGGCTTTGAGGATTGATTATTGTGGTCAACGAAAGCGAGAAATATGGTGAAGGAAGATTGAGTAAGCAAAGAACCCGTTATGGATTCTGAGAGGTAGGATTGGTGGTATAAGCGAAGGCAGCGCGAAATGGAGGCAGGATGAAGATACTAGTCAACCTAGACGCGCGCGTGCCTCTCGCTCTTCCCGCTCATATCGCGTTTCTTGGTAGGGTCAGAGCACGGATGATTGGAGCCCAGTCACAGAACACCAGATTGTTGTCTAGACTCTAGCAAGGGAACGATGTTGGCGCGATTGGCAGGGACGAGAGGAGAGGAGAGGAGAGAAGAGAAGCACCTACAAGTCTCGAAGGTGTGCTTGTAGCAATACAGTACATTGTGAACCAGCACCAAGCAGCAGCAGAACCACATTGTTCCCGAGGGACAGACAGACAAGACCAGAGTGGCATGGAGCAATGCTAGAACTCCGCTGGCGGTACTCGAAACTTTGTGTCACAGAGAAGCCTCTAGAATCTCTGCAACCTAGATAACTCCGCTGGCCGTTTTCGAAACTTTGAGTCATAGCCTGGACTGTCAAGAACTGGTTGTCACAAGGCATTGTTTGTTTCAGTGCGATAAGAAGTGGTACACAGGTAATATATCAAGCTTACGACAGTACCTTCCAAGTTCCAACACCAAGGTTCAGAAGCAGTTTCGACAAAAGGGTCAAAAGCCGATTGATCCGACTGAGGACAAAAGGGTTGTGTGGCACGGCCACAGGCGATGTGCCCAAGGTTTGCGAGTTTCGCGGTCAGGAGATCGCATCGCAACTGGCTGTCGGGGGGAACGCGATACAGTACAGGTGGTCAACACGGCTTGTGCTGCAGAGGAGAGTGAACAGAGTTCTTCCAATACAGTAGCACATAACCTATCTTCTACATCTCCTCGATCACCTTTCCTTCATCTTCTACGGAGACACTTCTAACATACCCAATAGTGTACTAACCACGTTCAGCTCACATGAAAAAAAATGACATACCAACCTCAAACCACAGCCACTCATGGTCAGAATGCCATTCTCTAGCCCTTTACCTCGCCAGGTGGTTATGACGACTGTCGTTCCGTAGCCATGGTGTGAACGGGTGTCAGCGTGATGAGGACACGTAGCGGGACACTACTTGCTATGACACGTGAAGCGTTGACTAACCACTTGACGCTACGACGTAATATGGTAACTTACAATGCATTCCTTACGTTCACTTCCGTTTCTGCTGCACTCTCCGCTGTCTGTGATTTGTACCTTATTCCGTTACCTATTCCCTTTATCCGTCTTGATTGTTTGCAGTCGGCTTGTGCCTCCGCCTTAAGACTCCTACCTTTTTTCGAAGCACCTGCGATTGGATCGACCACCGCTCTTCCTTGCTAGGCCAGCCGCAGCCTCCTGTGTGCTGCCTGGACGTTCTCGCATGGAACATCCGCGTGTATTCGTGTCCATATATTCCTTCCAGTAAAGATTAACTTGGTAGTTTTTTTCACGAGTTTCTGTAACATGTATTGTCTCATGCAGGCGCTTGCCTCCCTGTTTCAAATTCTGTGTGCTTCCGAGCGCGCGCTCTCCTCTGAGCTTGCTGCAGTGCCAGCTGTCTGTCAGATTTCTGGGTTAATGTTTTCCATCCGCTGATTAAGCAGCCACATGAACAAAAGAGGTGAGAGACCTGAACCCCGCTGAAGGATGAGCCGTTTACCGGTTACTGATTGAGAAAGTGCAATTAATCGCTGCCACAAAATGGTCTCTGAGGCCCTCTTATCAAGCTTTTGATAGCCTTAAGAGATGTTCGTGTGGCACAGACCAAAGCTTAGAGCTGGAGAGATGAATGTGCTGGTGGGAGGGGGGAGCACCTTAGCTCAAGTAGCTTGGGTGCACTTCAATAGTACCCTCATAGCTAACGCCCTCTCCATATCTCAAACTGCCTTCTAGGCCTTCCCAGTCTACGTGCATCATTCTTGTTAGGGGATCATGCTTTCATTCAGTTTTTCGAGGGGAACAACTGGGTCTTAAGATGGGATCGTGTTTTGTGTGAAGTATTTGCTAGTAGCTGCTTGCCTCCTCTGCTGGATGGATTGATGTTTCTCTGCGTGTGTGCTGCAGGTGCCCTGCTAGCTGGTTCGGTCCATGGTTTCAAAGTTTGGGAGCTCAAGTTAGTGCATTACAACTAATGTAGTGCTCTGTGTTTATCACACAAATGTTTACTTCAAATCTGATACAGTGTGAGCCTTGGCTCAGCATTTGATAATAAAAGTCTCAATGAACCATATCTTGATTCAGAAGCTGTAACACAGTTCTTGTAATGAAGTGTTCGCACAAACCTCCAACCATCTTTCCCACCCTACCCTTCTTTCGTTGATCGCTGATCCGCTCCTTCGGCACTTTGTCGACCAGAAGGCAGTCTCGAGGCTCAAATTCTGGATCTCTCGGTCTTGTCTAGGAAATTCCTCGTGTCATCCTCTGGTCGCTGTCCCTAGCCATGGCGACTGCTTCAGGTAGGCTTCCCAGATCATTAGTGCCTTCGCGCGTCTTTTTTTCCGTCGTCGTAGATTCACTCACCAGATCTCGCTGTCGCGTGCTCGGGATCAAGTCAAAATTCTGGACTGCGTGGGCTATTTTAGAGTTCTCCGTAACACCTTTTTCACATCCGGTGACGGTTTTCAAACATCGTTCTGGTGCCATGTGTGCAGCATCGCGCGGATTAATGGCCATCCTCGCTATTATCTCCCTCGTATTCGCCGGATCTTGCGCGGCTATCGTCAATGCCTCGCCGTTAGCAACCGTGGAAGCAGCAAAGACTCTCGCAGTTCCGCTGGAAGACGGCTCCTACGGCAGGTGAGATTTGACGCTAATTACCTCATATATTCTCGAGATAGACGTAAATTCCTCGTCGTTGTCAATCTTCAGTGCGTCTTTTCTGTCAACTATGAAGGCATTCTGGTTCCATCCGTTCCGAAGATGGCTCGTACGTCAGCTGGAATCTATATATTTTTCCTTTGTGTAGAATAAGTGGCATTAGTCGGACGGCATTAGATCATCGTGTCGTGTTTACTAGATTGAAAGGCTTCAGATTTTCCGTTTTCCATCAATTGGATCGTTCATGACCGTATAAGAACATTCCGTTGGTTGTTGGACTTACATGGTTGGATGTTCCGATCAGCGATTGGTTTAGCATGAGTTAAACCGGCTGTAGATTACCAGAGCTGCGGGTTACCATGTTACACCCTCGTGTTTTCCGTCGAGAACGATGGATGCAACATCTCTGTTTCAGATCTCATGAATCAGAGTACGAGTTAAACCATGACCATGACAGTCAATGGTTGCTGGGGAGACGAAAGGCGCCGCTTTTGCTCGTCTTGTCGTCAGAGGGAAAAGGGCGAAATTGTTGTGAACTAATCGTTACTTTCAATCGCGTGTTCCCATTACAACGCGTACCGTTTTCAGCGTTCGCTCAATCCCGCACTCCCTTTCCACCACTTACCGGTTCTCGTCTCCCCGGGTTGACGGACACATTTCAGGCAGTGAATCTTCTGACCGTTCAGTGGCGCCTCAAAACCAAGCGCGCGAGTGTCCCCTGTCTCATTATGCGCTGCCGTCGCATTCTCCCTTTCCACCACTTACGGTTTGTCATCCCGCCAGTTTGAAGGAGACCTTTCAGGCAGTCAAGCTTCTGAGCGTCGTCTCGAAATCGTCGCTCGATTCGGCCAAGCTCTGCGCGTGGCTGAAGAAGCTTCCAGCCGCCACGTCAGCAGAGGAGGCCTTTCAGAAGGTTTCGATCGCTGCTGCGCTCGGCTGCAAGGGCGTTAGCGCCGTTGTCAAGGTAACGCACCCGTCCTCTTCTCGAGTTTTGAGGCCGCTCAAAACTCGCTGCGCTCGGCTGCAAGGCCGCTAGCGCCGTTGTCAAGGTAACGCACCCGTCCTCTTTTCAAGTTTTGAGGCCGCTCAAAACTCGCTGCGCTCGGCTGCAAGGGTGTTATCGTTATATTTGTTTCTCTTTTTCATGACTATGTTCTGCTAGCTAGTTTATTCTGCCACTACGGTCATCCGTTCGATAGTAAATCCGCTCTATTTGCGCCGGCGTCTCTTCCTACCTGCTGTCGCACCTCCTTCCTTGGCAGGAAGCGGAGCCTCTCTTGTCTCCAGCAGCATCCTCGTCGTCCCTTGACCAGCTGTTTTACGCTGCAGCCGGCACCCAGATCCTCAAGGTGAGGCAGGGAGACATACTTGAGAGGTAGGAAGAGATAATGAGAGCGGGAGAGAGCTGGGATTGGAGCCTCTCTTGTCGACAGCTGCATCCTCGTCGTCCCTTGACCAGCTGTTTTACGCTGCAGCCGGCACCCAGATCCTCAAGGTGAGGCAGGGAGACATACTTGAGAGGTAGGAAAGATAATGAGAGCGGGAGAGAGCTGGGATTGGAGCCTCTCTTGTCGACAGCTGCATCCTCGCCGTCCCTTGACCAGCTGTTTTACGCTGCAGCCGGCACCCAGATCCTCAAGGTGAGACGAAGTGGATGCCTGTTAGCGTAAGTAGAGTCAGAGTGAGAAGGAGAGAGAGAGCGAGCTCACTTGTTGGGAGTGGTGCCTCTTTTGTTCAGGGTTTCCCCTCCCTCTCCCTTAGTGTGGAGGACGAAGGGGAGGGAGAGCACGTCTCATTTCTTTTCTCCTTATTCCGCCCCTACGCGCTCATTGCTTCCATCCGTTCCCTCCTTCCCCACGGACGCTCAACTCATACAACATGGTACCAGGCGAACAAGTAGAGTTCTGCGGGTCCTCCAAGGTGACGTTTGAGTCGACTCAAAAGTCACGGATGCTCAACTCATACAACATGGTACCAGGCGAACAAGTAGAGTACTGGGGGTCCTCCTCAGGCCTTAAGAAGCCCGTTGCTGCATTCTCTTGCGCCCTCGCCTCATGGCTCATTGCTCATTGCTTTTTTCGCTTCCCTCCTTTTCCACAAATGTTCCCGCCAACCGAATTTCATGGTACTACCAGGCCAACAAGTGGAGCACTGGGTCCGTGCCTGCAGGCCTCAAGAAGGCTGCTGCTGCTATCCTCGTAAGCCTCTCTCTCATCCACGCTGCTGCCTTCAGAGCCCCGCATTACGTTCGTCGCCAGTGTAATTGTGGGTGGCTGTGTTGTTCATCTGGTCCCATGCTCGTTGCCGCCTGCATGATTTGTTCCGACCTTTTTTGGAGAGATTAAAATCGTAAAAGAAAATTTTGTACATCAACAGGCACTGAAGCAGGCGGATGGCTCGTGGGCAACGGGGAAGGACGGCCAGGGGTCCGTGGCTGCTGCGGGCGTGGCTCTCGAGGCGCTGGCTGCACTCAAGGAGCTGGGGCTGGTGGATGAGAAGCAGGTGAGGGTTGATGGGTCGGAGGGTTTGGTAGTGGTGTGGAAAGGTTAGAGATGGTGCAGCGGGCGTGGCTCTCAAGGCACTGGCTGCGCTCAAGGAGCTGGGGCTGGAGGATGAGAAGCAGGTGCGAGCTGGGATGGGTGAGAGCTAGGTGAGGGATGGGAAAGGTGAAAGTGAGAGGTAGTGCTGCTGCGGGCGTGGTGCTCAAGGCGCGGGCTGCACTCAAGGAGCTGGGACTGGTGGACGAGAAGCAGGTACGAGTTGGTGAGAAGCAGAGGTTCGGATTGGGAGGTGATTCAGCTTGGTACTCAAGAGTGTGAGTTGTTTTTGTTTAAGCCACAAGCACAGGATAAAACTCGGTGTTGGATCGTAGTAATGGAGTTTCTTAGCTCGTTATTGCGTGAGTGAATGCATTAGTGCTCTGTGTGTTCACGCGACAGTGCTCTGCTGTGTGCATTGTGTGCATGTGCCACGTGGCATTGCGTCGCTCCGCATGTGGCAGGTGTCGGCGGTTACAGATGCTGTCAGCTCGCTCTTCTCTCTCCTCACAGCTGACTGTAAGAAACGCTTTCCTTACTCGTCGTACAGCCCTTCGTCTTGCACTGTGAACGTACTCGTCGTTCGTCATCTCACCTGCATTAATCGTTGTACTTGAGCCCTTTGTCGCGCACTGTTGTTGAATCGAATCAAGCGTTAACTCAGCTCTTCTCCCAGCGCCTATGTTCTCATATGGATCTCTCCCTTACCACGCTTGCCACTGCATCTGCCCTCACGGGCTACCTTGCCCTCGACTCCACGCTCTCCTCCCCTCTCTTCCTTCACCCTGCCTCTTTGCCCCACCCCCTGCGCCCCGTGCCTGCCCCCCTCTCGTCCCTCCCTTCCCCCTTTCCTCCCTTCAAACCCCCATCCCGCTCCTCTCATTTCCCCGGTTTTCCCACTCGTCCAGCGGACCCTAGTGGCAACGCCGCTTCCTTCTTCTCAGCCTCGAGCGCAGAGGGCGGGACTCTCGTCGCCACAGCGTCCGCCGCCATCACGGGCTATTTCGCGCTCGCCTCCCCGCTCTCCTCCCCTCTCTCCGTCACCCTGCCTCTCTTTCGACCCCCTCCCCACCCCCTGCGCCCCGTGCCCGCCCTCCCCGTCCCTCCCGTGCGCGTCCCCGTCTGCCCTTCCCGCAGCCGACCCGAGTGGCAACGCCGTCTCATTCTTCTCAGCGTCACCCGCGGAGGGCGGGACTCTCGTCGCCACGGCGTCCGCCATCACGGGCTACCTCGCGCTCGCCTCTACCCTCGCCTCCCCCCTCTTCCTTCACCCTGCCTCTTTTTCACCCCTCCCACCCCCTGTGCGCCCCATGCCCGCCCTCCCCGTCCCTTCCCTGCCCGTCCCGTCCCCCCCCTGCCCGTCCCCATGGCCCCCTTCCCCCAGCCGACCCGAGTGGCAACGCTGTTTCATTCTTCTCAGCCTCTCCCTCGGAGGGCGGGACTCTCGTCGCCACGGCCTCCGCCATCACGGGCTACCTCGCGCTCGCCTCCACCCTCGGCTCCCCTCTCGCCGTGCGCCCTCCCAAGCTGGCGGAGGCGGGGCGCTATCTGGTGGCGGCGCTGCCCCTTTCACTGGCGGAGGCGGCTGCCTGGGCGGAAGCGCTCGCAGTGCTTGATAACAACCCGTGAGCTGGTTATGAACCGAGTTAAGGGGGGTGGGAGAAGGGGGAGAAGTGGGAGAGAATGCGGGGAGGGAGGGAGAGGAGAGGGAAGGGGAAGAGGGGGGGAGAGGGGGGGAGATTGGTATGGGTTACCTCGCGCTGGCCTCCACGCTCGCCTCCCCAGTGCGCCCCCCCAAGCTGGCGGAGGCGGGGCGCTATCTGGTGGCGGCGCTCCCCCTCTCCCTCGCGGAGGCCGCTGCCTGGGCGGAAGCGCTCGCAGTGCTTGATAACAACCCGTGAGTGGTGGAACAGAGTGGTGGGAGGTGGGGGATGGATAGGGAGGAGGAAGGGTAGAGTGGGAGGCGGGGCGCTATCTGGTGGCGGCGCTGCCCCTCTCCCTCACGGAGGCTGCTGCGTGGGCGGAAACGCTCGCGGTGCTTTATAACAACCCGTGAGTTGGATGAGGGACAGAGAGAAGGGGGGAAGAAGTGGGGGAGGGGGAGAGACTGGGGAAAGAGGGTGAGGGCGTGGGCGGAAGCACTCTCTGTGCTTGATAACAACCCGTGAGTTGGATGAGGGACAGAGAGAAGGAAGGGGGGGAAGGAGGAGGGGAAGAGAACGGGGAGGGTGGGTGAGGTGGAAACTGCTGCCTCATATAACAACCCAACAAGGAGGCGAATGCTCTTGCAGTGCTTGATAACAACCCGTGAGCTGGTTGAGGAACAGAGGGGTGGGTGGGAAGGGGAAAGGGAGCAAGGGGTTTCTCGAACCCTGATGAGCTGTACGCTTCCCTGCTCGTTCCTGATGGCAAGGGGGAAGCGTACGCTTCCCTGCTCGTTCCTGATGGCAAGGGGGAAGCGTACGCTTCCCTGCTCGTTCCTGATGGCAAGGGGGAAGCGTACGCTTCCCTGCTCGTTCCTGATGGCAAGGGGGAAGCGTACGCTTCCCTGCTCGTTCCTCCCGTGTATCCCACACTCCCTGCCCCTCTTTCGCACCTTCTCTTTCCTCGTTATCTCACGCTCCTGTTCCTCCTTTCTTTTATCCACCCTCTGTTGTATTCCTTCCCTCTTGAAATGCCTTTCTTCACATTTGAATCCTCCTTCCGCGCTTCATCACTCATCCTGTCCATCTCCCATAATCTCCTCCCCCATCCCACTCCGCCCCCCCCTTTCCCCCCCTCCCCCCCCCCCACATCTCCACCTGCTCCCCCTGGCCATGCAGCATCTTTGTGCCCATCTTCCTCTCGTCTCCCGGCCACATCTCCATTTCTGCAGACCCCACGCTCACTGTAAGTCGTCCTTCCTCCCATAAGCACGCTTGGTTACTGTGAGTCCGCCCTCCCCTCGGCCGCTGCAGCATCTCTCCGTTGTGCCCATCTTCCTCTCGTCTCCCGGCCACATCTCCATCTCTGCAGAGCAGACTCCACGCTCACTGTAAGTCCTCCCACCCGCCATAAGCACGCTCACTGAGAGTCCTCCCACCCCTTATAAGCACGCTCACTTCACTCCTCACAGTGCCTCTCCTCCCTTCCATCCCCCGCTGATTCACAATGTGCACCCCCGCACCTGCGAACCCCCCCGCGCCCCCCCGTTCCCCTCCTTGTGTGACTGCAGATGAGTGTGACAACAGCGCTGGGAGGCAAGGTGCCAGGCGTGGCAGTGAAGCTGCAGAGTGCCACTATCTATTCCCTCCATCCCTAGTTCAATCTCATGTGGTCAAACCCCCCCGTCCCCCCCCTCCTTCCCCCTCTTCCTTCCCCCCTCTTCCCCCCTCTTCCCCCCCTCCTCTCCCTCCTCATCTGACTGCAGGTGAGTGTGACAACAGCGCTGGGAGGCAAGGTGCCAGGTGTGGCAGTGAAGCTGCAGAGTGCCACCATTGGGGGCGGCAGTGCTGCATCGGGCAAGGAGCTCACAGCAGGCAAGGACGGCGTCTCCTTCTCCGCCAAGCCATTCTCCAAGGCCTCTACTCTGGGAGTCTACACGCTCAAGTTCAAGGTGAGAGGGCAAAGTCAAGGCAAGTCAAGGCAGTCAATATTGGGGGCGGCAGTGCTGCTTCGGGCAAGGAGCTCACAGCGGGCAAGGACGGCGACTCCTTCTCCGCCAAGCCCTTCTCCAAGGCGTCTACCCTCGGGGTCTACACGCTCAAGTTCAAGGTGAGGGCAAGGTCAACGCAAGTCAAGGCATTCAATGGGGTGGGTTGAGATTTGAGAGAGGGGCAGTGAAGCTGCAGAGCGCCACCATTGGGGGCAGCAGTGCTGCTTCGGGCAAGGAGCTGGCAGCAGGCAAGGACGGCCTCTCCTTCTACTCCCTCTGTTCCTCCCCCCTGTGCCTGCCTCTCCCCTCCTCCTCCCCCTGCCCCTTTCCCCTGTTCTGTTCCTTTTCTCTTCCCAACCCCTTGCTTTCTTCACCTTCGATGACCCTTTCGGCAATGCACCAGTGGAGGAGCGCCCCTCTGCTGCTCTCCCTGCTGTGGATTAGCAGAAACTCCGAACCACCTGTGCCTGTTTCTCTCCTTCCCACCTTCCCCACCCTCCCCACGCTCCGCACCTCCTTCCCTGTTCGCCTCCTTCTCTTGCGCTTCCCTCGTCCCCCAGATCACCCCTCCTGCGGAATCAGTCTTCATTGTCAGCAGTGCGTCAGTGGAGCGCCCTCTGCTGCTCTCTGCGTCCATGGCACCTTCTTGCATCTTCTCAACCACCTGTGCCTTCTTCTCTCCTTCCCACCCTCCCCACCCTTTTCTGCTTCCCTCGTCCCCCAGATCACCCCTCCTGCGGAATCAGTCTTCATCGCCGGCAGTGCATCAGTGGAGCGCCCGCTGCTGCTCTCTGCCTCGATGGCCGTCACTGGCGTGTCCGTTGCCGTGCTGGACAGCGATGGCGCCACTCCTGAGTCCGAGAAGAAGTGAGTATCTATGCGCAGGTGAGTGCGGGAGTGTGGCGGGAGGACCACAGTGGAGCGCCCTCTGCTGCTCTCCGCGTCCATGGCCGTCACGGGCGTGTCTGTGGCTGTGCTGGACAGCGATGGTGCCACTCCTGAGGGCGAGAAGAAGTGAGTCCCTCTGCTGGTCTTGGGCAGTGGTTCGTTTGTGGGTTGAGTCCTGTGTGGGGGTGTGTGCGGTGCGGTCAGTAAGAGCACTGCACCCATGGCAGTCACTGGCGTGTCTGTGGCTGTGCTGGACAGCAATGGCGCCACCCTTGAGGCCGAGAAGAAGTGAGTGCCTGGGCTGGGCGTGGGTGGGTGTGAGTACTATCGGGTGCATGCCTGTTAGCATGTGGTGTGGAGAGGTCAGGGAGAGCGCTGCTCTTTGCCTCCAGGCTTTGTCAGGGACTCAGGGCTGTTTCTCTGTGTGGGGTGAATGTGAGTGCTATTGGTTGCATGTCTGATAGGCTGTGGTGTGTTGAGGTCAGTCAGAGCGCTGCTTTCTTCCTCAATGCTGCATAAAATGATGCAGGCAAGCAGTCCTGTGGGGGTTATCTTTGATTCCTCGCCTTCTCCACTCTCCCCACTCCACTCTCCTCCCTCCTCTCGCCAGGCTGGACTTTGAGAAGAGGACAAACTTCACCGACCTGTCTGCCACCCACCTGCAGAAGCTGCGTGTGTCGCTCTCCCTCGCCACACCCTCGGGGAAGGCCTTCATTCCCCACCAGGTACGGGGCAGGGAGCACGGCAGAGAAGGGTTTGAATCTCTTTATTGAGGCTAGGAAACGGTGCTGAGGGTTTAGGAGGCCACAAGAAGGTCTTTAGGGAAAGTCTTTGTCTTGCACCAGGTAAGGGGCACCCTGGAACATTCCTTCTTTTTCAGGGAAAAGAAGGAAAAGAAGAGTTTTCTCATCATGGAAACGCCCCACCCCAGCAACTACTTAGGGAGAGCAGGAGATCATTAACTCTGTCACAGGACTGCTATTAACACCCCATCTCCTCTCGCCTTGCCCCGCTTCCCTTTTCCCTCCCTTTTTTTCTCCACACCCCCTAATGCCCTTCAGGCCGTGCTGCAGCTGGTGAACAGCATCGGCATGGCCTACTCCTTCCTGCTCAAGCCGTCCGGCAGCACCCTCTCAGTTCAGCTCGTGAGTGCACTCTTTCTGTGCGGCTCGTGAGTGCGGCCTTTCCTGCTACTGAGGTGAGTTTTAGACTTTTGAGGCGCCTCAAAAGTCTGTGCGGCTCGTGAGTGCGGCCTTTCCTGCTACTGAGGTGAGTTTTAGGCGCCTCAAAAATCACCTCAGTGCTCAAGTTATCCGGCAGCACCCTCTCAGTTCAGCTCGTGAGTGCAGCCTTTCCAGCTACTACCCTGCTGGCCTGCCCACTGCCCTGCTGGCCTGCCCACTGCCCTGCTGGCCTGCCCACTGCCCTGCTGGCCTGCCCACTGCCCTGCTGGCCTGCCCACTGCCCTGCTGGCCTGCCCACTGCCCTGCTGGCCTGCCTGTCCTATGCTCTGGTAGTATCAGGTATCACTCGCCCTTTCTACACTTCACCCTTCTGCCATCACCCCCCCTTACTCGCTTGCTCCCCCTTCTTTGCACTCCTTCCTCACTCCCTCCCACTCCCTTGAGCCACTTTCTATCCCCTCCCATCTGCGCCAACAGGAGCCTCTGGAGCTGATGGAGCGGTGCGGCTCTTCTACCACTCGGGCGAGTACACTCTCAAGCTCGTTTTGGACGACCAAGTCATTCCACTCCTTTGCACCGCTTCAAACTACTCTCTCCACTGCTTTTCACCGCTCCCCACCCATGCGAACAGGAGCTGCTGGAGATGATGGACCGTCTCTTCTACCACTCGTGCGAGTACACTCTCAAGCTCATGATCGGCGATTAAGTCATGGACAACGCATTTGACTGGCAGCTCCCTCTTCACTCCCTCCCACTCCTTTGCACCGCTCCTCACCCGTCCAAACAGGAGCTACTGGAGCTGATGGACTGCCTGTTCTACCACTCGGGCTAGTACACGCTCAAGCTCATCATCGGAGACCAAGTCATGGACAACGCATTTGACTGGCAGCTGGGCTCTGTTGACCTTGACCTGCCTGCTGCCCCCACCCTCCTCTACTCACTCCACCGCTTTTCACCGCTCCCCACCCACCCCAACAGGAGCTGCTGGAGATGATGGACCGCCTCTTCTACCACTCGGGCGAGTACACGCTGAAACTGATCGTGGGCGATGCAGTCATGGACAACGCATTCGACTGGCAGCTGGGCTCTGTGGACCTTGACCTGCCTGCTGCCCCAGAGACTGCCCCCAAGCTGCCCGCCCGCCCCGAGTCTCTGGCTGAGAGATTCTCTGCCAAGCCCGAGATCGCACATATCTTCCGCAAGCCGGATTCCCGGCCGGCGTTTGTCGTCTCATACTCGTTTGTGGCGCTCGTGCTGCTGCCGCTGGTGGTGCTGCTCGTGGGGGTACGTGTGGTGTGGAGTTGTGTGGTTTGGGGATATGTGTGGTACGGGGTTGTGTAGTGCGGGGGTATTTGATGTGAGGATATGTGTTTGTGGGGTTATCTGTGGTGTGTGTGGGGTTACACTTTTTGTGCCTGGTGTTCGCCAATTTTACTGCCTCAATTGTAGCTGCCACAACGCTGCTGCTCTCTCTTGGCGCTTAGCTCAGCACACACCTTTTTCTTACCCTGTCGTCCACCTTTCCCCTTATCTCAAGCTGTACTCCACTCTCGTTTTCTGTGGCACTGCTCCTCGTTCTCCACTTCTCCTTCACTCAGCAAACAGGATAATCCGCCCTCGCATCCCTGCCTCCCTGCTTCCCATCCCTCTCCGCTCCTCTCTCCACCGCTTCCCACCTTTTCCCACCGCACAGCTGGCGGTGCTAGGAGTGAACCTCAAGGCCTTCCCCTCTGGGGGTGTGCCTCTCCTCTCAGCTCTGGCCTTCCACGGGGGAATCGCTGCGCTCCTGCTGCTCTACGTTGCTTTCTGGGTGCAGGTGGGTAGACGTGTGCATGTGTTGCATGTTCTCGTCTGGAAATTCAGGTGGAGTACCTTTGTCTGCTGCTTACTGTATCAGCTTGCATTCGCCTTGGCTTCCTATTTTTCCACTGTTAAATCTGGCATTCATAGCTTCTGCCACTGAACACTAAAACCCCCATTTGAAACTATCATAACCCTTCTCCGCTTGTCTCAATACACTCTCCTATCACTGCAGGTGAATCTGTTCACCACGCTCAAGCTCATCCTTCTCCTCGCTGTCCTCACAGCCATTCCCGGCCACCAAGTTCTCTCCTACCTTGCTGACGTGGCACCTAAGGCCAAAACGGAATGAGTGCAGTGTGAGCCCATGCCTAAATGTCGTAAAATCCATGAAATCGTACATTTTGAGAACCTGTCTCTACTGGACGGGAGAGTCTAGTTGCCGTTAGTGATCTTATGTGTTGAGGCTTATGGGTGACGTTAGACTGCAATCAGTCTGATTTAGACGAGGTAGGGTACAAAATTTACTTGGTGCTGATATGGCTTCTTTCTGCACGTACAAGCTTGTTCATATTGCACAAAGTGAAGCACAATAGCGAGTCTTCCGTGTGGATGACTCAACCTCGGTATTAGCTCCTCCAATTGTTCTCCCTCAATATTTTCACGAAACAATACTGTAGGCGGAGTTTACGTAAACTTTGCGTTCCATTTGAAAAAACACGATGCATAGGCCAAACGCGGGTGCCAAAATAAACATTTTAATACGGTTGAATGCGATTTCGTACGAGAAAGTGCGATTCGTCTACATAATAGCTGGTGCTTCTGGAGCTTTCCTTGACTATCCATGTTGAAGGCTTCAGAAAAGAGAGCTCGAGGCAACAGTTTCTTCCTGCAGCCATAGCTCCGGGGCTTCTTCTCGGCTCGCTTCTGTCTTCTGAGCGCCGGTGTCGGATCCTTTAGTTTTTAGGTGGGGAGCTTGGTTAACTTGCCACCGCGAGGATCCTAACCCTAAATCGTAATCGCAGCTGTAACTTTGGGGTCGTCGATTCAGAAACGCAACCGCAGCTGTGGTTGCAGCTCGAGCCCCACGCTGTCGAACCTCTTCGCCCCAGCTCGATCTGCTCGTTCGCCCGCCGTTACATTTCGCCTCTTGCGTCGCAACTCGTTCAGAGACTCGTTCGCCGGTCGCACTCGCAGTGTTAAGCTCTTTCGCCCATCGTTTACTACACGGCTCCCCTTCCTCCCTCAGGGACCAGGATCCGCGAATTCGCTAGCCGAATTCGCGACTGTTCGAGCCGCCAATTCATTAGTCAAGGAGCCTCCGAATCTTTAGATCCGCTGGTCGATTTGCTATCGGATCTTTTAGATTCTATTCTCTAGGCGCCATGAATCTCGGGGCGATGAAGAATATGAAGGTGCCGCCCGGAGCGGGCGGCGCGATCGGATCGGTACTGCGCGCTGCAGTGGTAGGCGGTGCGGTGCTGTACGGTGCGGTGCACAGTCTGTACAACGTGGAGGGAGGTCATCGCGCGATTATCTTCAACCGGCTATCTGGGATCAAAGACACGGTGGGTTTCGTGGTGAATCTGTTCAGTGCGGTGCTGGACGGTAAGGCGCAATCCATGATTGTCCTTGAAGTTAGGTCGTCCATCCATCGGGTTTGATCTGAGTGTTCCCGTTATAAGCAGTCTCGTTGGGTTCTTTCGGACGTAAGGTCTCAGGCTTCCTCTACGCGCTGTCCTCCCCCCGCCCTCCCCTTTGCGCCCGTTCCCGCCATCACTGCGCATGCCCAGCGTTGGTCTGGATGTATCCCATCCTTCGAACCCCCCTTTTCCCCCTCCCACACACCCTCCGCTCCCCCACTCCTCCCCTCTTTCCTCCCGCTTCCCCGTTCTTCTTCATTCACTTCCCCCCTCTTCTCCCCCTATCCCCGCGTTCTCCCCACCTTTCCCCCCTTTCCCGCGCTCACTCCTTGGCTTTTAAACCAAAAGCAACCTGCAAATTTGGGTGTACTAGGCTTGTCATCGCCCCCCCACTCTTCTCCCCCCCCTCTCCCTCCCTCCTCTCCTCTCCTCCCCCCCTCACTCCCTCCTTCACTCACTCCCTCACTCCCTCCTGTGTTCTCAACCTTTCACTCTATTTGCGCCATTTGGATATCCCCATACCAACGTATCCGATCCGACAGGTATATCAGGAGGGGACGCATTTCATCATCCCCGGTATTGAGTGGCCCATTATCTACGACGTGCGCGCGCGACCCCATCTCGTGGAGAGCACGTCCGGCAGCCGCGATTTGCAGATGGTGGGCCTCCTTTGTCCTGTGTACTGGGTTTGTCGTTTAGCTGGCGATCAGCCGCGTTTTGCGGGCGGCGTGGGTGCCAGGTGGCAGCTTGCTGGGTGCAGACAGGTGGTATTAGTGCTCAGCTAAAGATTCTTATTATGTTAATGTATGTTGCTACGTCAGCTTGATTCTTTGCTGCGAGTTTTGAGGCGCCTCAAAACTCGCCCCATGTGGGACCGTCTCCCCACCATCTACCGCAGGCTGGGGCAGGACTATGCAGAGCGGATGCTTTTGCGGTTCTGACCTGTGTGGTTCCTCCACCCTCCTCCCTGCCCTGCTTTTCCCTGCCCTGCTTTTTCCTGCCCTACTCTTCCCTGCCCTTCTCTTTCCTGCCCTACTCTTTCCTGCCCTGCTCTCCCCTGCCCCTCTCTCAGGTCCGAATCACCCTGCGTGTGCGCACTCGCCCCATGTCCGACCGCCTACCCACCATTTACCGCACCTTGGGGCAGGGCTATGCAGAGCGGGTGCTTCATGTTCCCACTCCCCTTTCCCACTTCGGACCTCTGTCCTCTCTCCACCCTTTCCTCTCAGGTCCGAATCACCCTGCGAGTGCTCACTCGCCCCATGTCGGACCGCCCTCCCCACCATCTGCAGCACGTTGGGGCAGGACTATGCAGAGCGGGTGCTGTGGTCTCCTCCTTTCTTCCCTTACCCCTCTCTGCCCTGTGCCCGTCGCTCCCCTGCCTGCCCTTCTTCTCAGGTTCGCATCACGCTGCGAGTGCTCACTCGCCCCATGTCCGACCGCCTACCCACCATCTACCGCACGCTGGGGCAGGACTATGCTGAGAGGGTGCTGCCGTCGATTGTCCAAGAGACTCTGAAATCCGTGGTGGCTCAGTATAACGCCAGCCAGCTCATCACGCAGCGAGAGGTATGGGGTTGGGGGGTGGCGTTGGTGGGTTGGGGGAGAAATGGAGGAGCAGAGGGCGTTGCCGAGAAATCCGTGGTGGCTCAGTATAACTCTAGCCAGCTCATCACACAGCAAGAGGTGCGTGCTTGCACTGAGCGGTACTGTGCAGTACAGAGCGGTACTGAGCGGGACAGGACTATGCGGAGCGGGTGCTTCCTTTCATCGTCCAGGAGACGCTTAAATCTGTCGTGGCTCAGTACAATGCCAGCCAGCTCATCACGCAGCGATAGGTATGGGATTGTTGGGTTGTGATAGGATCAGGGGGTGGGAAAGCAGGGACGAGTTATGTCCCTGCTCTCCCTGTGGGAAGCACAGCACCCAGGGTGCTGCCGTCAATTGTGCAGGAGACGTTGAAATCCAGCTCATCACCCAGCAAGATAATGCCAGCCAGCTCATCACCCGGCGAGAGGTATGGGATTGGGAAGAGAGTGGTGAAGTCTGGCTTGGGATCCTCCTGGGTAGTGTTGCTGGGTTGAGGGAAGGGAAGCAGGGGAGGGACACAGGGGAGCAGGCAGTGCTGCCGTCCATTGTGTCCATTGAGACCTCACCAACCTCACGTTCGGGCGCGACCGTTGAGGCCAAGCAGGTCGCGCTGAAATCCGTGGTGGCTCAGCCAGCTGATCACGCGACCATTGAGGCCAGGCAGGTGGCTTGAGCTCATGGCACACTCCCTCTTTCACCACTTGACCCACCCACGCTCCCTCCCTGTGAGTCGGTCTGGAGGACAGAGCAGCCAGCTTCAACATTGCTCTGGATGATGTGTCGATCAACCTCACGTTCGGGCGCGAGTTCACTCCTTACTTTCCCATTCACCCCTTGACCCACCCCCCCCCCTTCCCCCTCCCCATCTCCCCTATCCAGTCTGTGAGTCGGGAGATCCGTCGTATTCTGGAGGACAGAGCAGCGTCCTTTAACATTGCGCTGGATGATGTGTCGATCACCAACCTCACGTTCGGGCGCGAGTTTACTGCAGCCATCGAGGCCAAGCAGGTGGCGGCACAGGAGGCAGAGCGCGCCAAGTTCGTGGTGCAGAAGGCCGAGCAGGACAAGCGGGGAGCGATCATTCGAGCGCAGGTGTGTGTGTGGTGGGGAGGGAGAGGGTGAGAGGGGGGGAAGAGGGTACAGGTGGCGGCTCAGGAGGCGGAGCGCGCCAAGTTCGTGGTGCAGAAGGCGGAGCAGGACAAGCGGGGAGCTATCATCGCGCAGGTGAGGGGATAGTGGGGTGTGTGTTTGTGTGTCTGTGTGTGTGCTTGGGTGGTGAAGGGCGGCTCAGGAGGCAAAGCGCGCCACGTTTGTGGTGCAGAAGGCGGAGCAGGACAAGCGGGGAGCTATTATCCGAGCGCAGGTGAGGGGAGTGGTCGGTTCACTGTAAGTTCCTTTCAAGAGGGTTCTTTTCATGTGCACAAGGGCACTTATTGAGCCCCCTTGGAAGCTCACGGGTAGCCGTCTCTCTACCCGCGTGATTGGCAATTGTGAGGCACCTCACAAGTTTTTGCAAGGGCACAAAGGGCGCTTGCTGGCAGTGGCAAGGGCCTCTCCTTTGGAAGAGGCCGTTGCCCCTGCCACCTGTGAGGCGCCTCAAAAACGACTTTTTGCAGCTGACAGGAGAGTCGCCTCAAAAACGCCTCAAAAGTACCCTCATGCGCGCAGCTGACAGGAGAGGCCATTGCCACTGCCACCTGTAGTTCATGCGAGGTGCGGAGGTACCTCCGCAGCCCACCTGTTTACTAATAACCGCAGCTGGCAGGAGAGGCCCTTGCCACTGCCACCTGTAGTTCATGCGAGGTGCGGAGGTACCTCCGCAGCCCACCTGTTTACTAATAACCGCAGCTGGCAGGAGAGGCCCTTGCCACTGCCACCTGTAGTTCATGCGAGGTGCGGAGGTACCTCCGCAGCCCACCTGTTTACTAATAACCGCAGCTGGCAGGAGAGGCCCTTGCCACTGCCACCTGTAGTTCATGCGAGGTGCGGAGGTACCTCCGCAGCCCACCTGTTTACTAATAACCGCAGCTGGCAGGAGAGGCCCTTGCCACTGCCACCTGTAGTTCATGCGAGGTGGAAAAGCTACTGAGGCCCTCATTAGCTTTTGAGGGCTACTGAGGCCCTCATTAGCTTTTGAGGGCTACTGAGGCCCTCATTAGCTTTTGAAGGCTACTGAGGCCCTCATTAGCTTTTGAGGGCTACTGAGGCCCCTTGAATGGAAGAAAAAGGCTTTCATTGGCACAGCTGATAGGAGAGGCCATTGCCACCCACCCGCACTTCATTCATGCCTGTGCCAATTCAAAGAAAGCCAGGCAATGGCCGTACCCGCACTTCATTCATGCCTGTGCCATCACAGGTCAAAGAAAGCCATGCCTCCATCACTATGCCTCCTGATCCACCCTCCCATCCTCCCCTTCTCTCCCCTCCTCCCACTCTTTCGCCAGCAACTCCTCTTTCATCACCACATGTTCCTGAGGCGCCTCAAAAGCCGACTTTTGAGGCGCCTCAAAAACCGATCCACCCTCCCATCCTCCCCTTCTCTCCCCTCCCCCCACTCTCTTGCGAACAACTCCGTATTGATCACCACACGTTCCTGTGCCCTTCTCTCTCCTTCCTATCCTCCCGTGTTTTTCCCCGCCCCTCCTCGCTACCACACACCAGGGAGAGGCCACGAGTGCGCAGCTGATAAGAGAGGCCATCACTTTTGAGTCGACTCAAAAGTCACCTCATTTTCCCCGCCTCTCCTCGCTATTGCTCAACAGGGAGAAGCCACGAGTGCGCAGCTGATAGGAGAGGCCATCGCCAACAACCCCTCCTTCATCACTACTTGTTCCCCTCCCCTTCTCCTCGCTTCCCCTTTGCCCCCCCTTCCCCCCCCCCCTTCTCCCACATGACAGGGAGAGGCCACGAGTGCGCAGCTGATAGGAGAGGCCATTGCCAACAACCCCTCCTTCATCACTCTGAGGAAGATTGAGGCGGCCAGGGAGATTGCCAACACTCTGGCCAATAGCAGCAACCGCGTCTTCCTCTCCTCTGATTCGCTGCTGCTGAACCTGGCTGACGATAAGAGTGATGCGCCGCCCGCTCCTGCTGCCACAACTGGCAAAAAGAAGTGAAATAGTTTTTGTTTGGTGCATTGTCGGCTATTTTTGACATGTTGATGCATGCATATAGTTTACATGAAAGTTGAATGGTACGTGCGCACCAATGAAATTCGTTTCCCATTTGGGATACCCTATTGTGATTTGACCAACCATTTCTGCTGCGCACAATGTGGGATGGCAAACACTTCCCAATACGTGCAGAAAGCCTCTGAAGTTCAGTTCCACTAAAATTGCAGTACTACATTATTGTAGTTATCTGATATTCTATCTATCCCCCAGGTAGCACATGTGCATCCCAGACCTAAGCTTCTGCGGAGAATTCGGAGTGTATCAGTGCTCTAATGCAGTTTCTTGAATGAGGTTCGTGGGCTCCTCGCAATGACCGAAAAGGCGCATGCCACGGCAGCCTTATCTGGCAGCGCAAGGGCATCTCATCTGACGGCAGGTTGACGGCAAACGTTCCATTCAACGTTGAACGTCAAATTCAAACCCAAACACCTGAACCCCTGCGAGACTTCACCGCGAATTGTTCAGATTCTGTTACTTGATATTCACGAAGTTTTGGAGCTGTGCAAAGTTTTCGCCACCAACGGTTTTGGTTCGCTTAGGAATTGCTGGTTTGTCTCTCCTTGCTTCTTCTCCGCGGCCTCTTTCTTCCTCGCCTCCTTTTCCCTCTCCCCTCTTTCTCCAGTCGTTAGGGTTTCCCTTCCTCCCAGCGGCCTTTCCGCTCAGCTTCCAACAAACACAGCCATGGCAAGTCCTCTTGATCCTTTCCCGTTTAGCTCGTGTGCCTCACTGTGCGTGCGTTGGGGAATGGAATTATTGTTTGCGGTGGTCGTGCGGGGTGTTCTTTGTGGATCAGTGTTGGATGTGAGGGTTTTTGTCAGGGGGGCTATGAATTGGCCGTCGTATTCCTCGCACCGTGTAGCGGGTGGTAGGGGCTCGTTCGGCGGGTATGGGAAGGCTCAGTAAGTGAGATATGGCCGTTCCCCTTCCCACAAATGCGTTCATTGGCCGAGTTTGCCGGAAGGCGTTCGTAGTGCGAGGGTTCCGGAGCACGTGCGCTGATTCCTTAAGGAGTAGTCTGTTTCTGGCTAGCTGTGGTTGCGCGTTTCTTCTCTAGAGTTTAAATCCCTTTCTTAGCTGAATTTACTCATTGAGGGGGGCTAGTTCGTGTGGCATTTCGATAGTAGTGCGACCCGGAACTTCCATGTGCTTGATTGTCGGCATTTCACGGGCTGGACTGCTAAGTCACATGTCTCGTTAGATTGTCAATATCTACGTCGTTCTCTCTCGTTACCACCCTCTTCCCGTCATCCTCCTCTGTCCCCCGCTTTCACCCGCGCGCCTTCCACGCTGCTCTCCCCTCTGCCGTTCCCCCCTTCTCCTCATCTCGTCCTGTTGCCTCTCTGACTTTCTTCGTCCCCGTCCTGTCGTCCAGTCAAATACTCCCACTTGTCTCGTCTCGTCTCATAACGTCTCGACTCGTCTCATAGCGTTTCGTTGAGTCGGAATCATCCTTGTCTCATGCCCCTCAGCGGTTGACGATTAAAGTGAAAGTTGCAAAGGAGGAGCATGTTTTTTTTTTTTGCCTGGTCTCCACCTCAGCCGGTTCTCTCAATCCTGTTTCCTCCTCCCTCCCCGCAGTCTTCCAAGAAGAAGGTGAAAGAAGTGAAGGAGGAGAAGGGTCCCGCTGGCCCGCAGGTGCGAGAGGGCGAGATCGTCTTCGGCGTCGCACACATCTTCGCATCCTTCAACGACACCTTCGTGGTGAGTAACATTTCGCGCAGTTCGTTCAGTCTCTTCACATTTGTGTCACGGTAGTGTCTGTTTGTGCAATCTTCAACTCGTCTTCGTGTCTGCGATCCAATCGCGTTCGCTGGGTTCCATAGCTTTTGATCCGGCGCAACAGGCATACAACGTCTACTTTCTCCCGTTTTCGTCTACCGTCGGCTTTTCCCCCCTGCAACTTACCCTCCACATTTGCTTTCCTCTCCTCCCTCCCCCACCTGCACCCTTCCCTTCCCGATCGTCTCTTCCCCATCTGCCCTTACCTGCAGCACGTGACAGATCTCTCCGGCAAGGAAACCATGTGCCGAGTCACTGGTATGCCCCTCTTTTTCCTTTCACATCTAGCGCTGTCGTAGGTTCCAAGCCTCCGCATAACTCTCCGTGCTTGCTGCAATGGGCCCTTTCCCCCCTAGTCTTGCAGAGCGTTGTCGACGCGTTGGGGTTCCGGTTAGTTTGTGCGCACAGTGAAGCCGTACCTTCAGCACCCGGGTTACAACGCATGGTAGTGATTAGCCCGTCACCTGGCCGCTCGCAGGCCACAGTGCCAGACTCTTGCTCCTGCTCCTTAACCTTAGTATTAGGTCGAACCTTTCGCTGGTGGAGCTACTAGAAGGAGCCTACCGCGCAGTTTTGCAGTTCCATCTGTTTGAATCCGCCGCTCGATGTATGGTGTAAGTACGACGTTTCCAGGTTCCAGCGGGTCACTTTGACACTCCGTCAAGCGTGCTTGGGAACCTTAGCTCTTGCTGCGGATTCCAACCCCTTGTTTTCCCTTAAATGCCATCTCCCATCGGCTATTTTTTAGAATTCTCACAAATTCCCTTCTTCCCTCCAACCCCGCACCCTCACGCTCTTCCCCCCTCGCCCCTCGTTTCCCCTCCCCCCCAAACCCCGCTCCTCTCCCATCCTTCTGACATTGATTTCTTGCCCCTTCGCGTGGTTGGCTCTTTTGTTCTTCGGGGGCCTGGCCGCAATTCTCTAGGCACCTCCTGACATTGATTTCTTGCTCCTCCGCGTCGTTGGCTCTTTTGTTCGTGGGTGAGCAGGCGGCATGAAGGTGAAGGCCGATCGCGACGAGTCGTCCCCATACGCGGCTATGCTTGCGGCGCAGGACGTAGCAATCAGGTGCAAGGTACGTGCTGGAATCAAGGGACTGTCGATCATATCCCCTGACTTCTCTCCCCTAACGTCCCGGGCACACCAGAACCTGGAACCACAGGGTCGAAATTGTCTTTTTGCTCCTCATCATGGGTCCCCCCTCCCCACCCTCTGACGCTCCGCCACTCCCGCGAATCCCGCCTCACCCGCCTCCCGCCGCCGCGCCCTCTCGCTTCCGCCTATCAGGAGCTGCGCACACAGATCGGCGAATCAATCAAACTCATTTGCCACCCAAATTCTCAATTGCCCCGTGTCGCGCTTCCTTTCCCCTCTCATCTCCCACTCACCCCCATCTCCCCATCCTATTTCCCCACTCACCCCCATCTCCCCATCCTATTTCCCACTCACCCCCATCTCCCTCTCTTCCTTTGCCCCCCTCCTTCCCTCCCCTCCCCTCCGCCTTCCCCCTCTTCCCCCCTTCCGCACTTCCCCCTTCCGCACTTCCCCTTCTGCCAGGAGCTGGGCATCACGGGGCTGCACATCAAGCTGAGGGCTACCGGCGGTAACCGCACCAAGACGCCTGGCCCTGGAGCTCAGTCCGCCATCCGCGCTCTTGCCCGTTCCGGCCTCAAGATCGGCCGCATTGGTACTAGCCTTGTCCCCTTTTTGTTCCCATCGAGTGTGCAATTTCCACCCCAAGTGCATTCCTGCTCCTTTTTACACTTCAGCCACCAGTTTTTTAGGTGGTGAGAGTGATACTGCAACATGTGGCTTTGTTGTCCACTGGGGTCTAATATTTGCTTTTGGTGCTGTTGATTGTCTGGGACTGTGTTGTGCAGAGGATGTGACACCTATCCCCACCGACAGCACTCGCAAAAAGGGTGGTCGTCGCGGTCGCCGTCTGTAAACCTTGTGCCTTACCATCTCTTGCTAGGCTTCAATGTTTCTAGAATATTGCACTAGCAGCAGTAGCAGCACCTCAGTGCACGCAGCAGCTGAAGCTGAGAAGCAGCAGCAAGGAGAGTCCTTTTTAATCCAATAGTGCTTGTTGCAGTGCCCAATTATATTTTCACCTGTGGCATTAGTCCATAAATCTGCCATCAGTCCAGTACCTCGTTAACTAGCAAACAAGGCTAGTAGTCCGGTTTGGACAAGTTTTGGTCTGGCACGGCAAGGCCATGACGCTTGCAAAGCTCTCCGAATGAATGTCTAAGTTCAGTCGTTGGCTTGGAGTTGCGTCCTAAGCATAGCTCAGGTTCGGTGACGGAGAGCCTAGCCTGGGTTCGAGCTCCGGCTCGGCGCCGTTACCTAGTGGTCCCGAGTCGAAGCAGCGCGTGCCCCCATGTGTTCATCCCTCTGGAAGCTCGTGTGAAAACAGTCAACAGCCGACATCCGTTAGGGGGTGTCCGAAGTGAAACGTCGACATCCGTTGACATCCGTTTGGGGATGTCGGTAAATCCTGACGGTTGGAACTGTCGATCCGAGGGATGACATTTACCGACATCCAGCGACATCCATTGACGTTTCACTTCGGACACGCCCTTACAGAATTGATCGGACTCCCGCAAAAGTTGTCGTCGAATGGGTGAATTCGACGGCCGGTCGCCGCCTCGTTAGTTTTTCGCACCCAGCGTAACTTGACGGTCGTCGTGCCACACTCCCTTGGGAACACCGAACAGCAACACAGCTTCAGCTCAACAGCTAGAATGGTACAGCAGCAGCCGAAACTGGTCATGGGGAGAGGGGGCAAATGGTAACGTCTCTTCCCTCGGACCCTTCTCAACCGCGCTGTATATTTATTCAAGAGCTCTAAAGCGCAAAGAACCCTGTTATGTCGCATTGAAACTGAATTTGGGGGCATGCCCTGATAACTACTGCAAGGCTTTGGACTGACTTTCTAGACTAGAAGTAGAATATACCTCCACCTTAGACTGCTCAATAGCGACATCGGTCGGTACCAGCAACTACTTGCAGCCCCCCCTTTCCGCAGTTGGAGCTTTCTTGATTGTAGTCGATGCGGGTCGTTAAGGTCGCGTTAGCGCTTCCTTCGCATAGGGTACGGTAATTGTTGGGCTCATGCATTCAGACTGGGCACCTTCATGTTCCTTCTCGTCCCCTCTTCTTACTCCTCGCACGTCGAGATGCGCGCCGCGTCGAACGATCAAGATGCGTCGACAACATCCATTAGCGAGTGTGGCTATTTTGGAGATTGTGTAACAAACATTAGTTGTTGGCCAGCGCGTAAGTGAAACGACTTCAACAGCCTACAAGCTCTGCTTCTTAGGCGGGTATATCAATAGCCCATTACCTCGCAGACGCAGGCGTTTTATCTAGTCTGCAATCGAGGCTCTGCACAGTGTAAGCCAATTATAGCTCGCATAAACTAATCGGTGCAAAAACCTTCTCTGAAAGGAACACGTTATGTCGGCCAGACAAAGCCCGCTTGCTGCTCCAGGAATTCCGCGACACGTGTCCCTTGAAATTCCAGTCTCGCACCGCTTGTCGTCGGAAATTCCGGCGTCAGTATCCGTCCGTTGCTCTAACGACCTTGACGACACGGATTCCGTCTTCTCCCTCGCCCTTGATTCTGACGTTCCGTCCGGTCCACCTTCCCCAAAGCTTCCTCATCAAGTCTCGGTTCCTCGTCCGTCGTTTTCCCCGTCCCTTCACGGTGCCCCTCACGCTACTGTGCCTGCCGACCGTTTCGCACCTACGAATTTCGCAACAGCGGATTTTGGATTGACGACTTTCGCGAACGATAATCATTTCGCGACTGCCAATGTTACACCCGCTGCGGACTCTGATTCGTCCGTCTCGTCCTCCCTCACCTCAGTCGACCTCTCTTCCGCGCGAACCTCCTCTATAAGCACATGCGGACAGCTACAGCAGCAGCTTATAGCGGGGCCTAGATCCGATGATGTGGCGCAGCGCATCGCGCCGCGGGATGCGGGGGACGCGGATTCGGAGGCGACGGCGGTAGCCACGGCGGCAGTGGCGGGAATTCCGCCGGGCGGCGCGCTAGCGGCGCAGGTGGAGCAGTTTTTGGCGCGAGCGGGGGAGGTGGATCAGGAGTTACGCGATTTGAAAGTGACTATAGCGAGGCTGCTAGGGTTTGTGGACGACTATCGGCTATTATCAAGCAAAGATGCAGTGGAGGTGCGTTTGATTGTTGATAAATTGCTTGCATGAGCCACTTTGTGCATAAAAAAAACACAGCGTAAGGTTTTCCAACCTATTTTCTCCTCCCTCCCTTGATTTATTCTAATTTCGCAGAAGCTTGCAGAGAGGATGACGTCAGAGCTGGATCGACTGCAAGGCACGGTGACTGGAAACTTGAGAGACCTTATCAGCAGCATCTTTACAGGGGAGTCTGACAGGGTAAATTACCCCAGAAATGACCAGCACTCGGGCAGCCTGAGCAACAGCGGGAAGCTGGGAAGAGGCGGGATTGGGGGAGGAGGGAGTGGGGGGAGAGGGGGTGTGGTGAGTAGAGTTGGAGGCTTGGGGGCGTGGTTAGGCTCGGGAATTGGCAGCATCGGGACCAATAACAATAGTGGCAACAGCAGCAGCGGCAGCAGTGGCATCAGCAGCAGCAGCAGGGGAGCGGGAAATGCGGCCATGGGGCACATTAAAGCGTCAGTGGCGGCTGCAATGGTGGAGAAGCTATGGCGGCGGCACAAGGAGGCTGGTGACGTGGCACTCCGATTGAACATGGGTGTCCGGGACACTGCAAGAAGAAGGTGGGCGTGATGGGATAGTCTGGAGATGTGCTGGTGTGTCTTGGGAAGGGCTAATAGGAGTGAATGGGCTATGGCGGCGGCACGAGGAGGCTGGTGACGTGGTACTCCGATTGAATATGGGCGTCCGGGACACTGCGAGGAGAAGGTGGGCGTGATGAGATGTAGTGAGAGGCTTGAATGGTGAATGGGCTATGGAGTGATTTTTTTTTAGACGTCTCAGAAACAACCTCGCTTCACGTGAAGGTGGGCGTGATGTGATGTAGTGAGGGGCTTGAATGGTGAATGGGCTATGCAGTGAGTGAGGCGGCTCAGGGAGCTGGTTTTTGAGAATTCTCAAAAACCAGCTCGTGATGGGATGTAGTGAGGGGCTTGAATGGTGAATGGGCTATGGAGTGATGCGGCTCAGGTGACTTTTGAGTCGACTCAAAAGAAGGTGGGCGTGATGGGATGTAGTGAGGGGCTTGAATGGTGAATGGGCTATGGAGTGATTTTTTTGAGACGTCTCAAAAGCAACCTCGCTTCACGTGAAGGTGGGCGTGATGAGATGTAGTGAGGGGCTTGAATGGTGAATGGGCTATGCAGTGATTTTTTTGAGACGTCTCAAAAGCAACCTCGCTTCACGTGAAGGTGGGCGTGATGAGATGTAGTGAGGGGCTTGAATGGTGAATGGGCTATGCAGTGAGTGAGGCGGCTCAGGGAGGCTGCGGATGGAAGGAAAGCTGGGGGGAGGGAAGGGGGGAAGGGTGGGGGTGGATTGATTATCGGCGTGAGAGACTCTGCAGGGGGGAAGTGCATGGATGGGAGTTATGGACGGCCTATGGCTCATTTTTTAGTCGACTCAAAAATGGGAATTATGGACGGCCTATGGCTCATCTCCTGATTCTTTCCTTTCTCGCTTCACACCCACCCACACCTTAGATATTCCCCAACCCGTCTCCAACACCCACCCACAGAGACCCACACACACCACCACCACCACCACCACCACCACCACCACCACCACCACCACCACCACCCCATCATCACCACCACCACCACCAGCACCCCCACCCCCTCACCACTCTAGAGCTTCCATGCCATGATCCTCTTTCACCCAACCCACCATCCCAGGTACACGGACGTCACAGGCTGTGCCCCGTCCAACGACTTGGTCGAGCAGCTCTGCTCGCCTGCCACTCCCCAGTAACTTCCCGCCTCTTATTCTCCCAGCGCCATAATCTCTCTGTATTCTCCCCCACCCCCACCACCTCAGGTACACGGACGTGACAGGCTGTGCCCCTTCCAACGACTTGGTCCAGCAGCTCTGCTCGCCTGCCACTCCAGAGTGCCTTCTCTCCCGCCTCCTCTGCTCCTCCATCTCCCGTTCCCTCTCATAACCTTTCCTCTCTCGGTGTCCCCCCTGCCCCCACCCACCCACACCATCACCCACCACCACCACCACCACCACCACCACCACCACCACCACCACCAACAACAACAACAACATTCCCACTACCCCCGCCACCTCAGGTACACGGACGTGACAGGCTGCGCCCCTTCCAACGACTTGGTCGAGCAGCTCTGCTCCCCAGCCACCCCCGAGTGCCTTCTCTCCCGCCTCCTCTGCTCCTCCATCTCCTCCCTCCCCTACCTCCGCCCCTCCCAATCCACCTCGGGAGTCGGAGGGCTCGACGCTGACGTGGAACGGCTCGTGTCTGAGCTGGCGGCGCGTCAGCAGCTGTCAGCGCGGGTCGGCGACAGGCTGGCGCGGCTGCAGGAGGGGATCCAGGAGCTTGTGTGGCTGCTGGAAAGTGGAATAGGGAGCGATGAGCTGGCGAAAGCGAGGAAGCGGATTGGTGGGATTCCAGAGCGGGGAGGGGGAGGGGGGAGTGGGGGGGGGAGGGGATGGGCAGGGGGAGGGGTTGGTGGGGCTTCTTCAGCTTATGTGGCTATGGGGGGTGAGGGGGAAGGCAGCCAGGGAGGAGGGAAGGAGGGGGGAGGGGATGGGAGGAAATGGCACTGGTCGTGTGTGGTGCTGGTGGGGGTGCTACTGGTGTCGTCACTGCTTGTCGTGCCTGCTACTGTGCTCTTGCTCATGTTTGTTAAGTGAGACGACACCCTTCTCTCCTGCTTCTCTGTCCTGCTTCCCTGTTTGCGCTGCTCTATTCTGCTGCTGTCCCCTGCTGCT